CCTACATTCTTAGAGGGATTTGGACTTTTTGGTGATTTATCAGTCTTACATTGCACTTTGTGAGATTAGATTCAAAACAGTGATAGGAGTCCAAACTGTAATAGCTAGAACACAATTCACGCCCTCTCCGAAAAGGGGTGCGCGGAGGAAGTTTGGGCGATCTACAGGGTGTTGCAACAATTTCAAACAATCTAGCTTTTCCATTTTGAGTCCTTGGTTTTAACCTAAACTCATTCATAGTACTCATCATTTCGCATTCTTTATGTGATACGCTGAGAGATGTTGCTTTTCCCTCTCCCACTTGTGATACGCTGAGAGATGTTGCTTTTCCCTCTCCCACTTGTGATACGCTGAGAGATGTTGCTTTTCCCTCTCCCACTTGTGATACGCTGAGAGATGTTGCTTTTCCCTCTCCCACTTGTGATACGCTGAGAGATGTTGCTTTTCCCTCTCCCACTTGTGATACGCTGAGAGATGTTGCTTTTCCCTCTCCCACTTGTGATACGCTGAGAGATGTTGCTTTTCCCTCTCCCACTTGTGATACGCTGAGAGATGTTGCTTTTCCCTCTCCCACTTGTGATACGCTGAGAGATGTTGCTTTTCCCTCTCCCACTTGTGATACGCTGAGAGATGTTGCTTTTCCCTCTCCCACTTGTGATACGCTGAGAGATGTTGCTTTTCCCTCTCCCACTTGTGATACGCTGAGAGATGTTGCTTTTCCCTCTCCCACTTGTGATACGCTGAGAGATGTTGCTTTTCCCTCTCCCACTTGTGATACGCTGAGAGATGTTGCTTTTCCCTCTCCCACTTGTGATACGCTGAGAGATGTTGCTTTTCCCTCTCCCACTTGTGATACGCTGAGAGATGTTGCTTTTCCCTCTCCCACTTGTGATACGCTGAGAGATGTTGCTTTTCCCTCTCCCACTTGTGATACGCTGAGAGATGTTGCTTTTCCCTCTCCCACTTGTGATACGCTGAGAGATGTTGCTTTTCCCTCTCCCACTTGTGATACGCTGAGAGATGTTGCTTTTCCCTCTCCCACTTGTGATACGCTGAGAGATGTTGCTTTTCCCTCTCCCACTTGTGATACGCTGAGAGATGTTGCTTTTCCCTCTCCCACTTGTGATACGCTGAGAGATGTTGCTTTTCCCTCTCCCACTTGTGATACGCTGAGAGATGTTGCTTTTCCCTCTCCCACTTGTGATACGCTGAGAGATGTTGCTTTTCCCTCTCCCACTTGTGATACGCTGAGAGATGTTGCTTTTCCCTCTCCCGCGTGTGATACGCTAAGAGATGTTTCTTTTCCTTCTCCCGCGTGTGATACACTGAGAGGTGTTGCTTTTCCTTCTCCCGCGTGTGATACGCTGAGAGATGTTGTGTTTGAGACTTCGGGTATTCCCGATAGTCACCTTTAGCCTTTCTTGTGTAATGCGTAGTTAAGTTTGCATAATTTTCTTACATTCTTTCTGCATGAGATGTAGTTTGGTTTGTGTTTACTTGCTTATATACAAGTTTGCTGTAGCATTTCTTTGCATAACATTCGCTTAAAATGTTGTATTTATTTTGCATAAATGTTTCATTACAGTCCTCTTTGCATAATCCTAAGTTATGTTCTGCATTGTGCATGTTATTTGCATCTTGCCCCTGTCTACGGGCGCATCTCTTTATTATCATGCCTGTTTGTCTAAGTCTTTGGCCTTGTCAAAAATGGGTCGTCTCTGGGCTTTGATATTCACTCCTGTCATTTCATGACTTCCGAGTTCTGTAAAAGAGGGGCAACTGTAGACACCTCATTTTTGACCGACCTTAAGATTTAGACGTCATCGTCCGTGCACTCGGTGATTGTGCATGTTTGTGCTCGTTTTGAGTTTCCGGAGTCTTCGGCTGAGTGCCTTGTCTCAAGACCTCTTAACTTTCTCCTCTTGGCCTGGTTTTTGGACCATGCCTTGCTGCCTTTGCCTAGAGGGAAACAAAGGCCTGTAGGCCAATTTTTATAGCTGTAGGCTACCTTTCCCTCTCGTAGGCCACTTGTGGTGGCCCGTAGACTAGTTTTCGGGGCTTCCAGCTGAGTGCCTTGTCTTGCAGACTCTTGTCTTTCTTCTTTTTTTGGTTTGTTTTTGAACCAAACTTTGTTACCCCTTGCCTGGAGGTGGAACAGGGGTGTAGACCAGTTTTCTCCCCTGTAGACCACTTAAGGTGGTCGGTCGACTAGGGGGGGTGGTCGGTCGACCACTTTAACTGGTCGGCGGCCTTTCTGCACTTTCTGTAGATATTTTCCTTGCCAGCTGTGCCAGCTGTTGGGCATAGAAGGCATCCTCCATACACGTGTATGGAGGGATTACACCAAGCCTCTAGCTTGTCTAACAAGCTTGAGGCATGAAATTCTATATAAGGGGAGCTTCCTCCCCCTTGTTCAAGGTTCATAATTTTTTACTAGGGCTAAATATATCCCTCTCTCTCTATATTTCTCCCACTTTCTCTATATTTGTACTGGTTTGTGCCGTAAAGTGAGTTTTTCTTCGAACTTTTGCACTAAAGCACCTAATGAAACACCATCACTCTTGAGATGAGGTTCTTGGAGGTTGCATTTGAGTGATTTTGGCTCGGTTTTGTCTCAGAAGTGGCAGGTTTTGAAGTTGTTCTTCAAGGGTGAGTAGTTACCCTCTTTAAGCCTTGTTTTGCTTAAGTATTTGGCCATCCTTGCATGCTCTTTTAGGCCTTACTTTCAACTGCAAAAACTCTTGTTTTAAGTGTTTGAAATGTTTGTTTGAGGCTTTGTTTGAGTTAGGGGTGGTTTACCCCCTTTGGCAGCTTATTTTCCTTTGCTTTGTTCTATCTCTTAAGGGCTTTCAAACCACCTTGTTTTGGCCTTTTAACCACTGAATTCCAGAGGAATTTCAGTGGTGGAAAATGGGTTTTGAGACCCAAAATGGATGGGGGTGGTCCCCCCCTCTTGTGTTTTGTTTGCATGTGTTGTTGGCTTAACACTTTGGCATGCTTTTCTACCTTCATAAGGCTCTATCTTAGCATGTTTTAGGCCTTATTCTAACATGATATAACTCTGTTTTGGGTTAGTTTGGTTTCTTCTTACATGCTTCATGTACTTGTAGTGCAATCCTCTTAGTTAGCCTAACATGCTCTATGCTTTGGACCACCATTTTAGCATGTTTTTGGCTCCACTCCAGCAGGCTTTTACTCATATTTTGGCATGCCTTAGCTCTGATTTTGGTCGACAAGGTCACCTCTTGCATGGTTTATGCACTTGTAGTGCAAGTTTGTTCACTAGCCTAGCTTGTTTGGTGTTTTGGCCTATTGATCTAGCATGTGTATGCTTTACTCCAGTACATTTTTGGCTTTGATTTAACATGGTTTAGGTCTGATTTGAGTGGTCTTAGTCATGCATGCTTGGCTTTGCATGGCTATAGTGCATTTGGCATTGCTAGCCTTAAGCTTTGAGACCTCTAGCATGTCATATTTGAGCATTTTGCATGGCATGGCATCATTTGGCATGTTATTTTGGACCATATACCTCTTCCATTCGCATTTATCATCCCTTTGCTGTGTTTGAGGGTTGAGCCTTATGCTTCACTTATGAGCCAATATGTATGCATGCTTGTCTAAGCTTTTGGGGCTACCATCTCAGCATGTTTTTGGTGTTATTTTACCATGTTACAACTTTGATTTTTGTTGGTGAAGTCACCTCATGCTTAGTTTTGGTATGTGTAGTGTAATCCCACTCATTGGCCTTGCATGCGTCATGGTTTATGCCTCTCATTCTAACAAGTGTTAGCTCTACTCCATGCATGGTTTGGCATTGTTTTGACCTGCCTTGGGACTATTTTGAGTCATCTTGGCCCTTTGGGGCTTGCTTGATATGGCTATGGTGCAAGTACCTTAGTTAGTCTTGAGTTTTGAGCACCCTACTATTCTATATTTGTGATGGTTGCTTGTTTGGGCATCGTTTAACATGTTATTTCAAAGCATGTACGTGTGTCATGTTCTCATTTCTTTCATTCCTTGAGAGCTTTTGAGAGTTGTGTCTTTGTGCATTGTTAATGAGCCATCAAATGAGCATGTTCTCCTTGTGTTATATGCCTTAATCTTAACATATTTCAGCCGCTGTTTTGGCATGTTTGACCTCGGTCCGAGGTTGGTTTGACCATTTGAGATTGATAGTGCATACCTCATGTGTAATATGTTTCATTAGCTTTGATTCCTTAGCCTTTATACATGCCACGCATGCATTGCTTACATGATAGAGTCTTGCGCATGTCACTTTAGCATTGAAGGTTAATCCTCTTGTTTGCATTGCATGTGTTTGGATTGGTCGTTAATCCAAACACGAGAAATGTCGCACGTTTCATACTTAAAGTGATGAAACGTGTAGCATTTCTTGGTCGCCGACCCTCTTGATCAAGCATGATAGAGGTGGAGGCCCTTATGTGTTACTTGTGCATTCATTGACATTGACTTGTACAAACTTGGCTTCTCGGCCATTGTGCGTTGCGATGCTCGGTTGGTGGCCCGAGAGTCAAGTACCGCACTCTCTTGAGCTTGAGAAATGATAGGGAGGATGGTTGTGCACACATATCTTGCAAATACACTGCTATGCCCCATGTTGTTCTCTGTTGCAGCAAAACTGGAGCTTGGAAAATTAACTAGTTGGCCGACCAGTAGGGGTGGTCGACCGGCCACTTTTTCTGGTCTACAACTAGTTTTTCTGGTCTACAGCCCCCTTTTCTGGTCGGCAGCCCACCAGGAGGTCCCCATGTTGGAGCAGAAGCAATCTGGAAGTTAGTGCACTTTTCAGAGATCAAATCAAATGCAAACAGAGGCAATTCTGGGCATAACAATGGATTTTCGAGCGAGGCGATCGAGCATGCATGCACCCCTCACCCCGAGGACCTCTTTTATCTGCTTTAGCTGCTTTACTTAGTTAGCTAATTCGTCGGTTTTGTACTTAATTAGTTAATGTGCTTAATTAATCGATTTGTTTTGTAATAATTAGTTAACTAGGAATAGTCAATTAGTTTTGGTTTGTAATAATTAGTTTAATTAGTGTAGCTAGTTAGCGTATTATTCGGACCCTCCGTTGAGAGGGCAAATGTTGTAATAAGTGTGCGTGTGTGTGTGAATGTCTTCTAACCCCACATCTTTCTCCCTTTTACTTACCCACTTTCAGTGGTTAGTTTAGGGCATATTTCAATTAGCATCCTTATGCTTGCATGCGTGCATCATTCATTTGTCTTGCATGCACCGGGCTCGGCGTGTCATTCAAACTGTATTGTATTTCAATACCTATTTGAATACATGTATCAAATGTCGCATCCATTGTCATTATTAGATAGCCGAGCCTATTTTGTTGCATTTTTGCATGTGTTACATTAGGCATTGTTGGCATAGTTAGGATCATGCATATTTCTAACTAGCTTCCTATTTTTGCTCGGAGTACACTATAAGTGTTTATGCTTTAGCGTCCTTGCATGCGTGTAAGTGTTGCCATGACAGCATGCTTGCCATGAGGCTACGTGCTTAAGTGATTGACTGCCTGAATGCCTATGGATGAAGGTTTTATTGCTTGAATTGGAACAATTCATTAAAATGTGCGTTTTAAGCCCACTTGGAGTGGCAAATCATGTTTTCAAGCCCACTTGAGGGTGGCAAATCTGCATTTTAGCCTACTTGCGAGTAGCAACTTCAAACCATTTTCAACAAACAAACATGAGATGTTTTGTTCCAAGTTGAGTGATTGAGGCTATACTTGTGTGTCGTGCACATCACATAGTAAGCTAGCTAATAATCGGAAAAAGAACACATGTGTTTATAAAAACAACATATCTTGTTAGTAGAGGCCGATCTTTGATCGGGCGAGCTGGGGTGCTCATTTCAGCACTTTCCCCTCTCGTATCCAAGTTCCCGAGCCGAGGCAATTTTGGTGATGATGGACATGTGGCCTTAGGCACGAGTCAGGGTTTCCTAACTTTCCCAAAATAAAATATTTAGGTGGCGACTCTGAAATCTGGCAAAGTAGTCTATGTTTGGCGCTTTTTGATTAAAATCGATTTTCCAAAACGATTTGTCGGATTTGGACTTTTTGGTGATTTATCAGTCTTACATTGCACTTTGTGAGATTAGATTCAAAACAGTGATAGGAGTTCAAACTGTAATAGCTAGAACACAATTCACGCCCTCTCCGAAAAGGGGTGCG